CTCTTCCTTCCCATCAGTTCGGATTTCGTTCACAACACTCTACAGTCCAACAAGGACTCCGAGTGGTTGATCATATTTCCGCAGCATTGGAAAGCAAGCAATATTGCTCGGGTGCATTTCTGGACATAGCTCAAGCTTTCGACCGGGTATGGCACGCCGGGCTTCTTTCCAAGCTGAAAAACTATCTTCCTCAGTCCTTGTACCTTGTTCTCCGTTCCTACCTCTCAGATCGTACCTTCCGAGTTCGTTGCGGTACTGAATTTTCGCATTGCTATCCAATTGAGGCAGGTGTTCCTCAAGGTAGCGTATTGGGTCCCGTCCTTTACATCCTCTTTACCGCCGATATCCCTGTCCATCCCGATACCTTCCTGGCAACTTTTGCTGATGACACCGCCATTCTATCATCCGACTCAGATCCCAACATAGCATCCTTAAATCTCCAAAACCACCTCACCTTGATTGAGCACTGGTGTAATAACTGGCGCATTAAAGTTAATGAATCTAAATGCCAACATATTACCTTTACACTCCGACGCAGTTCCTGTCCACCAGTACACTTTAATTCCATCCAGCTTCCTTACTCAGACACAGTCCGGTATCTTGGCTTTCATTTAGACCGAAGACTAACGTGGAACCCACATACTAGACTCAAAAGACAAGAACTCAACCGACGATACGGCCAGCTATACAGACTACTAAACAGAAAATCCAAACTTTCTATTGAAAACAAATTACTTATCTACAAGACAATACTGAAACCTATATGGACATACGGACTTGAACTGTGGGGGACAGCAAAAGCTTCTAACATCAAACGTATTCAATCCTTTCAATCTAAAGTCCTTCGAACAATAGTTGATGCTCCGTTCTATGTAAATAACAAAATCCTACACCATGACCTTAATATCCCATTTGTCCTAGACCTTATTCCAGAAAAATTCTCCAAATTTCACCAGAACCTTACCTATCATCCAAATCCCCTTGCACAATCTCTATCCAGCACCACCCATCCTTACAATCCTCCTCGAAGGTTGAAGCGGCAGTGGCCCAGAGACCTTTTGTAAATAAGCATCTATTGGAGTTTTGGCAATGGCCAGATCCTCCACTCAAGCCCGAGTGTGTATGATTAGGTTAGTTCTTTTGTTTATATACATTTATTTTATTTTATTGTATTTATTTTTATTTTATTTTATTGTATTTATTATTATTAAGTTTCTGTATTATTTTTTTTTTTTATTGTAAATAGAGTGTGAGTGTGCTTTCTCTGAACACTATTATAAATGTCCTTGATGTGACAGAATGTAATATTTCTAAATAAACAAATATAAAAAAATTATTTCAAAATTTAATTTTTCAAATGTTAATTTATTAGGAATACGATTAACCTGTATGCATAGATAGAATCAGAAAAATGATGCATGCAGCATATTGAAAATGATTTTCTAAAAAAGGGCGGAAAATGTAAAAATTATGATTCATAATGATTTATGAAAACATATATTGAAGTGGATTTTCTGATAATTTGAGATACTGGAGTAGGTTCTTTCTTTATTAGGTGTATATATATATATATATATATATATATATATATATATATATATATATATATATATATGACAAATATCCATTTGTCAAGCTTCAGCCGGTTTTCGAACCTATAAAATATCCTTCATAGGTTTTAATGTTTATAGAAATAATGCTTCATTAAAAAATAAAAACCAATTGACGTTACGTGACCTAGCTTACGTGACTAAATAAATAAAACGATAATATCAACCAGACCGTGTTTCGATTTGCCAATTACACTTTGGCAATATATATATATTTTTTATTATTTTGTTCCACACATTATTTTCATATCTTCTCTTTGATTAAGTGATGCAAAGTGGGCCAATTCACGAACCTAAGGCGAAGTCTTAATTTTACCGTAGCAGCTGTGTGTGAAGACATTAACTACCTTTAATTTAATCAGCAAATTTTTTTTTACCGACTATAGGGAACACTATTCCCTAACACTAGGGTTCACTAACACTTCTGCGAAAATATCATAGTGAAAAAGTGCTATAAAACTTAGCTGTTAAATGTTTTGCGCAAGAAAATTAAATCTTTAATAAAACGGGGCAACTTTTCCATAGCGGGTCCGCTAGCCGATCTAGGATGACAAAATTCATTGAGCATAATTTGCTAATAAAAATCCCGTATTTGTCGCAAATAGATACAAATAAAACTTTCATAGTCATAATCAAGTCAATATAAGTTTAATTTACGGCGAAAGTTTAATTTTTAGGAACATTAAAATTTAAAATCATAATTCATAAGAATTAATAAAAAAAATAACAATGATATTAATAAAAAGGAATATTTTTATTTATTTATTCATTTATTCAGAAATATCACAATCTGCCACAAAAAAAGGAAGCTAGAATGAAAGTATTGAAATTTATTTAATCCATTTCCTCAATCTTATAATCAGCATCATTAGAAAGCTCACTCTCTGATTGAAATCTCTCATAATCGCTTTCTTACTAAAATTTAAACTTCCCTTTTATTTCCTTATCTATAAAGGTCTGTAAATGGTCTGTAAATATTTGCCTCCTTCAAAAATCCATCACCCGTGAAAATGTGCTCAAATTTTTCTCAAAATTTTGTTGGCGCAACATGCGTCGTAGAGACCACCTCCCCTCCCCCCTCCCCAACGCCCCCCTTGGCACCCCTACTATATTATATCCTGTACTTTCAGCTGATTATTGTTTTCGAAGCAATCAGAAAAACATTACTCAGTCTCCCTATTCCCTAGAAACCTCTAGAAGACTGGTCTTTGTTAACAATCGTTACCAGGAACAGAAAATATGCCTACGCTACGAAAATTTCTCTAAAAAAAAAAATATTTTCTGACCATACTTTTTAACACTCCTTCATTTTGATGTAAATAGGGCTACATTGTCTTCCAAATCAATGTATGTCCCAAAAATAATGTATGTTTTATTATGTAATTCATAACATTTTCATAAGATTAAAAATAATTGATTCCAGAACTTTTGTTCAAGTCTCTTGAAATAATAATAATAAAAAAAAGAGTGCTTAGCGCAAAATTTGATGATTATATTTTGAAAGAACATAAACAATTTTACAAAATAAAAAACAAATTGTAGCGGGAAGGGTATTTTGGACTATACAAGTGATGTTTATGTATTTCAAAGGTTTTTAGCCTTCATAGCCTTTTTACTTTCACTTACCTTTATATGCAATATATAGTAAGGGTAAGTATTGTGAACATCAAAATTTTCGTGTCTGAGTTTTCAACGGAAATACAAGTTTGAGGTCTCTTGAGTCCAAATAAATGTATGTTATCAGTCTATCTCAAAAACGAAAAGTCGTATGGATGTGAAATTGTATATTTAAGGTTTTTATAAGCTTTAAATGTTATAACATTTTCATGAAAATCGGCAAACCGGAAGTGGTAACACATTTTTACAATTTTCTCAAAAAAAGCTCAAACGATTTTGATTAAACTCAGCATATCAGTGTATTATTAAGCAGTTTTTAATATAATGTAGAGTTTATTTTCATTGATGTTCTCTATCATCGTTTAAATGATTAATTTTTTATTTAAAATAATTAACCATTTCACATCAATTGTTGATATAAAAAAGTAGTGAAATAAGAGATCGTTACGGATAATAGTTGTAATAGAGGAATCAAAGGATTACAAGGTCACCCGAGCTCGCCCGAAAGATTACAACAGCCTTCCATACATAACATGAGCTTCTTATAATACGGACTCCGAAACATAAAAATATTTCATCGATATGTTTATAACCTTACATAGATTTACTGTAGTTTAATAACTATAGATATGATATTATTTTTAAATATAATATATCATAAATAATAATAATAATAATGTATTATAAATAAAATATATTTGGTATCTATTGGCTGCTTATTCCAAAAAATCATCAAGTAAGCTTTTAGAAAACTAAATTAGAGAATAATTTGATGAATTTTCCCTTAGTGAAATCCCAACATAATCTACTTACAATTAATGTGATAACTTTTGACCTATCCATGTCAGCCAATGAAAATCTCGTAATATCATTTTAGTAAACTTTACAATGGAAAATAACAATTTAATAACTAATAGTCCTACAATTCATAATCATTTATAGGTTAAATATTCAGTTATACTTTCAAACCTCTGTAGACATATTTGAGCCTTTTGGTTGACAGAATGACTAACTCCAATTTCAACATTATTTTTAATTTTAGTGATGTTTCTAGTGGCAAAATGTATGCCTTAATTCACAGTTCTATATTTCAACACTGCAATCACCTGCTCCGGAATCAACTTACTGTCTGTATAGATAACTTTTTCAACTAGAAATATCACTAAAATGGCATTACTAAACAATTGTTGAAATAGGAGTTAGTCGTTCTGTCCACTAAAAGGCTCAGAGACTGAAGTCATGTGGTTTATAAAAGCAGATGGAGAAACCAGATTTTTATTGTCTACTGTCCATATAATATTTATTTTTATTTTTATTTTGTTTTAAAGGGCGAACGAATTCTGTGGTTATCATCGCCTATTTTCTTGAGTCAATATAATAAATAGATTTTTGTAATTTTAATGGTCTTAATGATTTGTTATCTGTAAGCTTAAATTGCACTTCAAAAATTTTATGATAGCTCAAAATTGCCAGAAATGTGGTAAGAGTGGTAAGTGAAAGTTTTGTGTTGCGCGCACCAGATTTTTTAAAGGCAATTGTAGCCAATATCAAACTGGTAGAATTTGTAGATCAATGAAATATATCAGGGGGCTTTGATTACAGTGAAAATCTCGTTCTCTCTTTATTTCGTACTTTCCATCTGGATGTCCAACCAAAAATACCGTCAATGTGGTTTTATAGGTTGGAAAATTCTGTTTTATTTGTTGGATATGAGGAGCGCTACATCAAAAGTGAATGTAGGAAATAAAGTCAAACAAAAAAAAAAAAGCATTTAAATAACATTAGTTTTTATAAGTAACATCAGGATATATATATACAACTTGAGAATATAAATATTAAAGACAGTTATTAATTTAACTGGTAAGGTTTTCATAACTTGTAGAATTATCATTTTCCAGTATCGGATCAATCCCAAGTTCTTTCGGATTAGTTTTCAACTGTACGAGAACAACTAGGTACGTTAGAGTGCTCGACACAAACTGTTAACAAGTTGAAACAATATATTAATAATAATAACAATATATTAATGGCAAATAAACAAATATATTATGTTTAAAATAATACTGACACATTTAAATAATAAATTGATTGGCAAGTTAGGTGGAAGTTCCACTCACAGAGACAAAATAAATTAACAAACGAACTCTTTAAGTTTTGCTGGTTAATACTAATACTTACATGCACAAAAGTACTTCTTGTAACTTTCATAAAACCTAGGTACTCAATAACTGGAGCTTTCGCTGATAAGCTGTTAACAAGGAGATCGATCTAAGAAGAAAGAACAATGAGGAACAATCAAATTACTTCGGTACGCCATGGCACAGTTAGTGTGAATTTGTTTCAAATAAAACTAACCTCATTCAAACAACTTTGCTGCAAGAAAGAGAGGTCTATCTGAAGAAGTTTTTTTGTGAAAGCAGGCCCTATCTGCAAAACAAATAAAGAAGGCTTCTAATTGAAAACAATATATATTTTCTCAAGTTTTGTCTATGCATATAAAAGAAAGATACCTTTCGCTCATCGACTTATTGATCACTGTATTTCATACACGACAGTGTCTATGAAGGTGAATTTTTTAATTTTGATCCCCCTTCTACTATGGAAGTATAATGTGCTGGGTTCGGGAAAACTCTTAAGTGGTTAAAAAAAATATTTTTAAAACATAGAAATAAAAATTATTTTTCGAATAAATCGAAAATTAAATGTATCAAGCTTTCCAATCATCATTACTTTAGTTCTTTTTTGTGGAGGAAGGGAGGAGAGCAATTATTAACATCTGTCTAAAACTTCGTGAATATTTGATCGTAATCTACAACTTTGTTATGTACGAAAATTCTTGTGGCGGGGTGGCCGAGCGGGATAACGCGTGTGCACAGCGCCACGTGCATTGACCGGCAACCGGATAACCGAAGTTTCAGATAGAAAAATAATTACGAGTCAAATTCCGGTGCCCGGTGGGACTTTTAATTCGGCATAATTCCTCATCTCTTCCGGCGCAGGAAACACTAAAAGTGTTTTCTAAAAGGCAAGGTAGGTAAGAACAAAAAAATTGCGAAAATTGTCGAAAAAATTGCGTTTCCATTGTCGTTATCGCTGTCAATTTATAAAAGTGTTAAAAACTTATTTTATCTGCAAAAATTCTCAGAAATGAGGTAAATTCTCATTAAATCAAATAATTTACAATTATTTAAATTAAATACTTTAGGTGTTAAAAACTAACGAATATCTACCTGCTTTTCACTTCAATCGTAAGATAATTTAATTATAAAATGTTGATAAAAGGTAGTCTACGAAAATTGTTGCCGTCTTGCATAATCTCTACACTACAACATATAAAAAGGTTATATTGACCAAACAATTGTAGGCCTGATTTTGTGATAAAATTATTTTACGATTCATTGAAAGCTAAATGAGTAGCTATGATTATTTAGTTCCTCAATATATAAATTATGTATGGGTGATAAATATTCAGGACGCAGTGACTATAAAGTTTTTATTAGTGCCGACGTTTCAACCCAAACAAGTGGGTCATCATCAGGGCGTGTTTCGAGCACTGAAGGTATTCAAGTACTGTATTTAAGTATTTGAATATCTTCAGTGCTCGAAACATGTCCTTATGATGACCCACATGTTTGGGTTAAAACGTCGGCACTAATAAAATCTTTATGACTGCGTCCTGAATATTTATCATCCATGATATATAGAACAGTCGACTAACATCCTTCAATAATAAATTAATTTATTTTTTAAAAAAATAGGTTATGATAAAAGGAAGCCACTCATGAGGTTTTAGATAAGTGTTAATAATGTCACAAAAAGTGATCTGTACCGTGGATTATACTATTATATACAATTACACTTGTGATCCGTTCCATATGTCTTTTCTTGTTTCCTGGTTTGAAAGTAGCTCCAAATAGAAACCTAACAAAAACATGATTCTTCCCAAAACGTTATGACCTCCTAAAAATGTGATCTTCCTCATATAAAGTTCAAAATCACGTAAAAATTTTGAATTTGCTCCTTGCAATTTGCAAATTAAAAATTTGCTCCTTCAAAAATTTTAATGTCGCTATGCCCTTCTGGGCACCGCTATTATCGAGTAATTTAGACCCAGGTAATTTCATTATTAAATGTTCATCATTCAGCGGCCCAACATCTTGATCGTTGATTACAGTTATGTATTCAACAAGAGATAGTTTGCTGATAAATAGTAAGGACCATATGTCAGAGCATGATGGAAATTCCATTTCATATAGTAGAAATGATAGGCCATCTCTATCATCAAGATATACTCGATTAGTTGTATACTAGTTATTCGTTTGGTTCTTGTGTACTGGTATTCCTTAAACCATCTAATAGTTACCCGTTCTGTGGCCCTGTACGCTGCGTCGGCTGCCAGGTAGTACGAGATGGCGCTGTAAGCAGCAGGAAAAACGAGGCCCCAGATGGAAACATTAGACGAGCTGGGCCTGGCTATGTTGATCAAGATGGCGTAGATCGACAAGATGAATCCCACGAAGTAGGTGGATGAATAGGACAGGCCTGAAGCACCGGTCGCATTCCCGATTTCAGTCACTAATTCAGATATCTTAAGCCACATCCTGCGCCTGTATCCCATATCACGCCTGTTTTTCGCCTGAAAATCACTTATTTGTTTAAATCAAAGCTCCAATCATTTCTTACTTTGGTGTCAAAACAGACCCCAGACCCATTCATACAAAAAACAAAATAATTCTGTTAGGGAAGGGGGAGAGGGTTGGAGCTGAAGGTATTAATCTTTTTTTATTACTACGGTGTCAATTTTAAATTAGATTAAATGACATTTAAAAAAGTTTGCTAAAAGTTGGCATAATTCTATGGTGAATCATCTAACTTTTTCATGTTTTGTTTCTGGTTAAAGATCTTTTCTTTGTGGTATCTGTTTCCTCATTTACTTAGTCCTGTAGATAGTCAAGTGTTCTAAAAGTCTTCTGACTTCGATACTGTGTAGGTATAGGTATAGGTAGACAGTCAGAAGATATACATTTCACAAACCAAGAGAAACATAATTATGTAACTTAACTAATAGTGAAATTAGTACTTAGCCCAGCTTTTTTTTTTCTATTTTTACCAACAACAGATGGAAAACATCAAAAACAAGAAACAATAAAATTAACATAGATAAACATCCATTTAAGTATTTGTGTTTCCCATAGTTTGTGAAATGTCTAAACACATCATAAAAAAAACAAAAAAAAAACATTGCTATTCCTTTACAACACATGAAGGGCTTCGGGTTCAGTGCATTGTAAAGAAGTACCATTTCTAGAAACAAAGCTACTGCATATTTTACTCTTACAAAACAAATTACAGATTTTTGTCGTTATTCCTTAGGCAAATCTTAATCAAGCAACATTTTTCAATTCACTTTAAAAATACTAATAAATAGAACTTTAAAGACATTTTTTTTCAGTTGACAGTGTGACCTACTCCAATTTCAACATTTTTGAGTAAAATCAATTTAGTCATATTTCCAAGTGTAAAATTTATAATATCTGTTCAGAGATGAGTATGTTGATTCCAGAATAAGTGATAACAGCGTTGAAATAAAGAGATGTGAATAAATGTGTAACTTTTCTCACTAGTTATAACACTAATTATTACTAAAAATGATGAAGTTGGAGTTAGTCATTCTACCAGCTGAAAGGCTCGTTTATGCCAGTGATTGTTTCTAGACTGACAGTTGTAAGGAATGTATTGGAATGAGATCACATTGAACTGCAAGATTTCCTCCTAAATCATTTAGTTCATCAAGGATGTCCAATTTATATAGGTAGTGCCAGGATGTGTCCAAGTAGAGTTTTCTGACCCAAGTGTTTTTCTAGGGCTGATGAAACAGAATAAATAATTATTTAGTTTAGCTGAACTTGAATTTTCTCAGTTATTCAATATTATTTCTGATAATCATATTTTATAACTTCTAACGATTATATGTATACCTATTATTGAAATCAATATATGTATGTATGTATATATATATATATATATATATATATATATATATATATATATATATATATATATATATATATATATATATGTATATATATATTTACCTTGAATATACTAGTTAGAAGTTTCTCTGAGTACATAGTAAGATCATGTAGTGATACCCACCAATGTTCAAGCATCAATACAGCAGCTATCAGAATAGGTACGTAAGGAACAAAAATAAGAACAGATATCTGTGGAAGGATTAGGGCTTCATAGATAACAATTATTATTGTTATTGGTGTCAGCAATATAGTAAAAACCTTAATATATCTAAGTCGCTTAACTGAGTATATTGTTCCACATCTCCAGATATCCTTAAATGAGTAAAAATATTTTGTTAAAACTTAATTACAATGTAATCTTAAGAAATTTTCAAATTAGAAACAGAAAAATAAAACTTTTTTAAAAAAAATTGATCTATTGAACTTTGGAAGATTATTTACAATGCAGTGATAAATATCTTCAATTACCAACCTCAAAATCTTTCCACTTCTGGAAATACCTCACAGTTCTAGGAGCATCCCACCAAAATGTGATTGGACCTGTAAAGTTCTGAAATGCGTAGAGAAGTAGTAGACTCCAAAATAATGTTTCATCATAACTTTCTGATGGATATATTTTATCAATGATTATTTTTTTATTGCTCCATGCAGTCAACAGTACAAAAATCAAGTGAAAGACAATACTGTACAGAAATGGCCAAGAAATCAAGGAGAATGGGGCAATACCTGAAATAAATATAAAACTAATGATTGAATAAATAATTTATTTACTATTTTTATTTTTATATTGTATTTCCATTTGATAAACTTTATGCAATTCAATTTTCATTTTTACCTTTATTTATTTTTTTACTGTAAAATCTATAATTATAAATACTAGGAATAGAATTTTTTATTTATTTCTATGTTACAATGACCAGTTTGTAGTGTCTTGTCTACTATCCTGGTCCATGTACCTTTTTATTTAGTTATGTGGTAATCTCTTTTATTTTTTATACACATGTAGTTCTTATTTTTAAATTTTCCATTTTTACTTTCCTACCTATACTAGGCAAGGAAAGTATTGCAATCGGGTCAAATTTCTAATATGCGGTTTTCGATGAATCTGTACGTTTCCGAGCCCTCTGAGTCCGAAAAACACATTTTTAGCCATTGGTCTGTCTGTTGCCAAGATTTTCTAGGGAACTACTGAACCGATTTTGTTGCTTTTTTTTTATTTTGTAGGATTTTGACTACTGATGCCTGTGACAGAAATTCGGTGCTCCATGCGCAATAGCTAGCGCGCAATAAATGAAAAACATGTTTTTCTATAGACTGTAGCGCGAAAACGGCTCTAACGATTTTGATGAAACTTTTCTGTAATGTTCTAATATTTGTCTTTTCAATTTTCGTATATAGACTAAATTCCCAAGAAAATTCAGGAAAAAAAGTTATAAAGAAAAGAAAAATGTTATGGGGCCTAACTCCCTAAGTATATATTATACGGTAAAGTTTATAATAAAACTGTTGAAAGGTAATTAAATTACCAACAAAACAAAAAAAAAAAATCATCAGAATCGAACCAGTATTAGCGATGATACAGCTTATTCTATTTTCTACACATGTTTTAACTTATTACTTTCCTACCTATACTAGGTAAGGAAAGTATTGCAATCGGGTCAAATTTCCGATATGCGGTTTTCGACGGATCTATACGTTTCAGAGCCCACTGAGTCCGAAAAACATTTTTAGCCGTTTGACCTGTTTTTTTAAAGGTAATGAAAATCCCTACAAAACTATATAAAAATCATTTATTTTGGACAACTATTAACGAAGTTAGAGCTATTCATTTTCCAATGTAAGATTACGGGTTCATATCCTGGTGTCAGAAAGGAGTGAATGAGAGAAAAAAGATGACTAAATGAAAATAAGAAAATCTGTTGCCAGCATCACACAAGCTTCAATATTTCCTCTACTTTTAACAGAAATTATTGTTTGACAATACTAAGCTATGGCAAAAAGTTTTTAATCAGCAATATTAGAGAGTATTGAAATTTTTACACTGATCTACCTTAAGCCGGTTTACATTGCTTTAGTTTATCAAATAAATCGTACTCAAATATTTTCTTTGATCAATTTTCAGGAAAATAAATCTAGTTCAATTTTTTTTTTTGTTTCTTCATGAACATATGTAAAGATATAAAAACTTTTCTGAAATAGGTATGAAAGTCATGTGAGTATACACACCAGATGTTTGATATTGAATAGTTTTTCAGTTAAATATCCATTAAATTTATCGCACATATATGTGTAATGTCTTATATTACTCATGTCCATATTATAATTAACAAGTTTTTTAAATATTCTTGGTTATATATATTGCTTGAATACATTTCCTGATTATATTCATTTATATTTTCAGCTGGAAATTATAATCATTATTAATTATAAAAGAACATGAAAGCCATAACTCTTTGATTTGAAAAAAAACCATAATATCTTTCAATACATTTTGTATACTCATTGTTACATTTTTTAACAAGTCACAATTCAATGAATTCATAATTTAATTTTTTTTTTCATATTGGATGATATATTATTTATCTTCCAATACTTTAGTGTGCGGTATTTAATTTTAACAATCCTCCTTCTTTACAATTGACTTTTTAGTGATAATTGAAAATTTTGATGCATTCTGGCTAACATAAATTGTTGAATTTATACATTTCATGTAAGAAATTATATATTATATCCTTTATTCCATTCAGATTTGTGTTTATTTAATCAAAACAAGCATTCTAATTAATTTAGATGTTAATTGATTATTTTTACTGATGATCACTGAATGATTGATTATTTAAACCATAAACAGATCATTATAGCATTGAGTTGACACTTGGATCTTCTCAAAATGAATCTATTTAAACATAATGAATATATAATAAACTGTGCCAATATTTTTTATACCTGTTTTAGTAAAAGAGTAAGGAAAACGGCCTATAAGTCTCATCAGAATAAAAATAGGTTTCATCTCAGTAAAGTAAATATTCTGCCCCAGTTGTTGATGAGGCTGATCCTATTCAACAAATTTAATAGGTATTATAAAAATATAAACAGCTTGCTTGGATATTAAGTCATAATTATTATATGATTATAAGTATGGAAAAGTGGTGGTAACATGAGACTCCATAATATCTTAGTAATATGTGATAATAAGTTAACTGCATATTTGTCTCCACTGAGAAGATTATCATTTTACAATTATTAAAAGACTATTTTTTTTAAAATTATAATATTTAAATTATTAAAAAAATATTTAATATTAAATTACATTTCGTAAATTAACATATACCTTATGATGGATGTTGATATCTTTAGTTAAATTTTCTCCATGATCATTCGAATAATTGTTCTCAATGAAAAATGTTTTATTATTAATTGCTAGCATTCTCACTTAGCTTCCTTTAGATTTAATTCCATGGTAATATCCCTAGAATATTTAACTCCTTAATTGCAATGTTATATATGGTAATTAATGATTAAAATGTAAATAATGTTAAATTGCTGTAAAATATAAATTACATATTTCATAGTTTTGAAACTACATTTATTTTTATCTATTTATATCCCTTCATTACATTACTGTAAAGTTACCAGCTATCAAATAAAGTGTCAGTAATTCATATTTCCATTATATAAACGTTTCTTCATTAAATAATTCTTAATGAAATAGTTTAATCTTTCTTAAAATATTGAATTCTTTAACAATATTTTCAGATTATATCTTTCAATATATCCTACATTTCATTGTTGATATAGTACATTATATCTACAGGAAACTTTAGAGGGACTTCCTAACAAAAAAAGTGGTTATTAAATATTTGTTTTATCTTAAAATTTCAATGTCTTTTTACTTTTATTTATTTTACACTATGTTTGATTAATTTTTTTTATACTTAGTTATAGATTGAACACTGTGACGCAACTAATGGGGAATGTGACCCAATGTAAATATTTTTTCTGTGCACCCTTTCTCAATCTAGAAAAAAAGAACTAATTTCTTCTTCCCTCCTCGTGCACAACTTAAACCTCAAAACATTTTCGGACTAAAATATACTCTGAAACATAGGTACTATTCAGAGCCTACTAAAATTTGCAATATATAAGTAAATAATCCATAAAACACAATTTATTTTTTCGTTTTGTTGATGTCTCAGCTCTGCCCCTCCTCCCCCTCTCCCACCCCACAGCCTCTGCACCCCAAGGTGTCACATTTGTTGGATTGGCATTATTTACACAATCGGTTGTACAGTTTGTAAGTGAAAAAAGCAATAAGAAATTTTTAGTATATAATTATGGGGAATTATACTTATCATTTTGAAATTTGAGAACAATTTTTTTATATTCAGAAACTTGACAACAATCATTAAAAAAAAATATAGTTTGAAAATGTTGAACTAAAATTAATGATGATTGAAGTTAAAAATGGTCCAGAGGGCACAAAAAAGTTATTTGGTAGCCCACTCTCAAGACTGAAAGTTTTGAATAATCGAAAAAATCCTGACAAAAAAAAAAAAAATAGAAATTTTTGCAATATTTTGTAAAGTAGAATAATATTTAATTCTTATTCACTAGCCTTATTAAAACAAAATTGAAAAATGATGTTCTTTGTAATGATGTTATCAAACAAATTTATTATGAAAAATCCCAATAATACATAATTGTTTTCAGTAATTCAAAGAACTTATAAATACTTTCCAAAGAAATTTTCAGTATATAATTTTAAAGAATGGTAAATAGGATAATATGCTATACTGGTATTCCTAGTGAATTAAGACCAAGGTTTGTAATCGTTATGTCAACGATGTATCATACTTGCCTGATGGTGGTGTGTCAAGGGAGAAGAGAAAGGGAGGCAATAAATGCCGATCGATGGGTTTACACTGATACATTATTTACCATCTGTCGCCAATAATTCACTCTGCCCCTCAATCCCACAATTAATGCGAAATATGTATGTATAGTTCTGTCCTCGCGTGATTGTTTCATAACACGACAATGTAATGACAAGTTATCTTTAATAGCTTTTGAATATGTTATAATTCGCAGGTCGGATATGTATATGAGCACAAAATACACTCTGATTCAATCTTATTCTGGTTTTTACTGAAAACAATAGTGCTATATGTACGTATCTTAAGCGGCCCGTCAGAAGATGGGATGGGCTGTCGAGTCTGCTACCCCGGAGCTCGGGCCTTAAAGGGGGTCTGGCCTGGCCAACCAGGTGATCTGTATTTTTATCTATTGGTTTTTAAAAACGTAACATTACATATATTATATTACTAAGGCTCAATATCGGGGTTTTGTACAAAATTGAAGCTCCTGTCATGCTCAAATGCCATCAGTACTATCGGATTAAGAATTTCTTAGGGAGTTAGACAATAACTTTCGGTGAAGCCACAATTGTTCTTATTTGTTAATGAAATTTTTCAGAAGTTTGTCAAAGGTATCTAAATCATAAAAATGCCTAATTCATGGTGGAGATCGATGGAGTTTTTTTTTTTATCGATTAGAAAAACTTGTATTATTGCTATTTCAGGACAAGAATACTGTTTTCCTCAAATGTTCTTAACAATGCAGTGGATTGAACAGGCTATTGATGTTTAATATACGACGTAAATATTGAGAAAAAAAAAAATCAATTTGTTATCATTCAATCTATCTAACGGCGCTATGGTCCTTGTAGAACCTTGGCCTCCTCAGTGATGCTCCTACCCTTCTCCATCTGCCGATACCCAACGTCCGAAGATACTCATCTATATCCAGCACCCAACGAAATCTAAGTCTCCATCTGCACCTTCTTCCACCAGGGTGTCCCTCCATCACCATTTTTGTTAGTCTGCTGCTTTCCATTCTTCGTACGTGCCCCAGCCATGTTATCCTGGCACTCATAATCGTGGCAACAATATCTGGTGTTTCAAATAGATTTCTAAGTTCCTGGTTTGTCTTCATCCGCCAGCGATCATCTTCTTTTGTAGGACCAAAGATGTTTCTGAGGTTTTTTCTTTCCCACATGTTTAACAGCCTTTCATCGTTGCGTGTCAGCATCCAGGACTCGATTCCATACAGGAACACTGGCTGAAGGACCGTACGATACACTCTTATTTTGAGAGCTCTGGATTTATCCTGGTTCAAATTTTTAACTCAGAAACCAGTAGCATCGATTGCTAGCTGCTATCCTTGCTGTAATTTCTTCTCTGATCTTATTATCCTCAGTGATAACAATGCCTAAATACTTAAACTGAGGGCTCTCTCGAAACGATATCCAGCCCCCTCGATACGCCTGTTCCCTCCTTCTTCTTGTTATTTAATTTTGCTCCATAGGCGACGTAAATATTGAAAAAATAATTCAATTTGTTATCATTCAATCTAACGGCGCTATGGTCCTTTTATAAATTCTGGTCCTCATATATTTAATTTTTTCCTTATTAATTACCACTTTTGTTCTACTAGCGGATACTCCTCGAATGCTCCAAGTAATTGGAGATATTCTTCAAAATGCACTGACTGTTCTTCCGGTAATAACAATATCATCTGCAAACGCTAGATGTTGTGTCAGTCTGTGGTGTATACATCCTCCAGGTCTTGTCCGGATCGACCCCTTTCAATACTCATGACCTCTTTCAATACCATATCGAATAAAACTGGAGACAGAGGATCTCCTTGTTGAACACCTTTGCGGATATAAATTTCTTTTGACAATTTTTCTTGAATTTTGACAACTCCTTTGCTGTCCTCCAGAGTCATAAGCTTGATAAGCTTCAAAGAGAATCCCATATATTTTAACTTTTCATACATTCCACTTCTATTTATACTGTCGCATGCTTGCTTGTAATCTATAAACAAATGGGGCTGTTCAACATTCCATTCTCAGCATTTTTCTACATCGTCCTCATGCAAAAAATGTGGTCCATTGTAGATCTTTCAGGGCGGCATCCACACTGGTAATCGCCCAACACCTCTTCTGCTCTCTTGACAACTCGCTTCATTAACAAAGTTTACAGCACCTTATAGACTATGCATAGTAATGCGATTTCTCTATAATTCCTACTATCCAATTTGTATCCTTTCACTAGGCATTTTCTCTTTCGTCCAAATCAGTAGTACCAATCATGTATTTCTCTATGAAGTGCCTCACCTCCAGATTTGATTGCTTCTGCTGGGACCCCATCAATTGCTGGCGCTTTATCACTATTGCTATCATTGGTAAACGAAAAAATAAAATTTATGTTTGAATTGAAGAATTTTCGATTAGCTGCAATAGTTCATGTTTAGACCTCTCTGTAGGGGCCTAAACATATATTTTCGGGGAAATTATAGCAAGAGTATATTCTTCAACTATTCAAGGACTGGAAACCATTAAAATGTTTCTATTTTAATTTTCGGTATTTTTCCGTCTTTGCCCTACTGTGCGCCGTCTGTTGTTAACATATTTGCAATTCGCCATATAGTCTACAAACCGGTGCAAAAACATTGACTTTTATTATCTCTGAAGAAAGTTTTGAAAGCAGTTTTTTGAATATTTATAACATTTAAATTTTAGAAAATGAGAGCCTTCCAATAGGATCGAAAAATCGAAGCGAAAAATGAACTCTTAAATAAATTAAAGAATTTTAAATTGTGCCTCGAACGAGTTCCTAAACGTAACGATTTGGTTGAGTAGTATGGTCGAAAACCACGGTTTACGATCATTAATTTTTATCAAATTCGTCAAAAACTGAGAAAAATTACTATAACTAGCCGTGTAGCTATGAAATAAGTTTTCTAAGAGAAACGACTGATAGAATAAAAGTTGTAGATCGTCGAATTCCGCGACCATTGAGTACCAACAGTTTAAATGTAGGTCACTTATTTCGCTCGAAATCGGTAATCTCCCGGTGTCTGGAAATTGGTAATGAAGGTGTCTATGATTTTAAATATTTCAATAGTATGGATGGTATTTTACAGAGTCATTCTTGTTTAGAGTCTGCTATTTACAGTATAGGAATCTTTTTCAAGCTCAGCAGCGAAGAATTTTTAGAAACGAGATGTCAAAAGAAATCGAATTTAATGAAGAAATAACCGATCCCGATTCAAGAGATATAATTGATCTAAATTAAAACAGTTGTTAATCAGTAGACGCAGAATTTGATGCTCCAAAACTTTTATTCTATGATTCTTTATTCTTAGGAAACTCATTTCTAAGCTATCGGGCCATTTATAGTAATTTGTCTTAAATTTTTTTTTTTTTTTTAATTTTTTTTTTAGTTTTAATAATTTTAGTAAAAAATAGCGTTCGTTGACTGCCGTTATGGCCCATATCATTTAACCAAATTATCAAGTTTAGGTATTTGTTCGACGCATAATTTAACGTTCTTCAATTTATCAAAGGGGACATTTTTCGCTTCGATGGACCGTTTAGGAAATATATGTGAAAAAACAAAAATAAAGATCGACAAACTCTGACTTACTTTGGATCTAAAAAGTTTTCCCTTGGTGGGCCGCGTTACAAATTTTGTTTTTTACATATTTGAACCCATGTATATACAAGTTCGATTGCACATGTGTTCTTATACATTTAACAGGGAGTTTCGTAATTTCACGGCTCTATTTTGCATTTTTTTGCAAAATAATTTTCATGTAGTCCTAGAAGATATTCCGCTAAGCATTAGGCAAAGGCTGTGCTTTATGCATGACGGTGTACTGCGCTAATAGTGTCACTGATTATTTAAATGCAACTTATGGAGACCGATAGGTTAATCGAAACGATCTCCGGATTTAAGGCCATTAGATTATTTTGTGTAGGGCTGGATGAAGTCTATGGTTTATTTTGCGGCAGTTGGCACTCAAAAAGAGCACAGAAAAAAGAAGAAATCGGATCGTGGAAGCCGCAGTAACTATCAAGCATCATCCTGATGCTATACGAAGAGCCAGAGAAGCATGGATTCGTCGTGCTGAATGTTGCATTCAACAAAACGGAAGCCCCTTTGAAAGTTACTCTAAATGTCGTAATAATATTAAATAGTAGATCTTTAACCTTTGATATCTGTTTAATAAATGAATTTGAGATATATGTTAATATGATTTTTTTTTTGTTTATTTTGTGTTAGTGAACACATACCTAAAATAGTAGCGTGAATGGATCTTCAAGGTTATTAACTTTTGTTATATTTACTTATTTGTATAAAATCTTAGCCATTCAAATGATAAAATATATAAAGGATGCCAACAATATAATAGTTTTACGTAAATTCCAATCACATAAGCGTCTACACCTGCTGTGAAAATATAACTGGCAAAGCTGGCACGATGTTTGATATAGTTCTTCAAACTATATCCTGGTTGATGATAACCTATTTCGGACTATAAATTAAAATAGTGGAAAAATGACACACCACAAAGTTGTCATCAAATTCTTGACACATAAAATAAAACATTACATCATACTCCGTAAAACATTATATATATCCTCTATGCTATATTATAATAAACTATTATAGTTTATAACCAAACATTAGGTGGAAGAAGGAATAAACGAAAAGGTGGGTTTTTAAAAAAATAAAATAAATAAATAGCTAGATCACTGTCTTTCAAGTCAATATTTGGATGTTTATTTACAATATTATTGATTAAATTATTCCATTGATTACAATTTATTTTATTCAATATTCACAATTACTTCTACTGTAACACTTATTTTTTCTAGATGTGATAAACTTAACTAATAAGATTTTCAAAACTACATAGTCTTATTGCTGCCACTTCCTTGTATTGGATGTAATCCCAGTGCTTTCGGATGAGCTTTCATCTGTACGAGAACAATTAGGTACGTAACGGCATTGCTCGCAAACTATTAAAACAATATATATTAACGAATACTTTTTAATTTATAATTAAATGAGATACATACAACTAATAAGCTGCTAAAACTAATATTTAATAACATTAAGAGTATTCTGTAGAGAGTAGCGTGAAAAATCTAATGACAATTAATATGTAGCTAAAACTAATATTTAATAATATTAAGAGTATTCTGTAGAGAGTAGCATGAAAAATCTAATGAAGAAATATCACCACATCATTAATTAATATTTAATAGTTATCTTAATAGTTATTTCAATGATAAAACTTACTTGTAAAAAAGTTTGTCTTGTAACTTTTATAAAACCCAGATATTCAATGACTGGAGTTTTTGCTGATAGGCACTTTACCATGAGATCTATCTAAACGGAAAACAAAAATCAAGCTAAGATACTAATCATGAAAAATAACAACCAACATGTTTTTTTTTTGTTTTTTTTTTAAATAAAAATATATTTATAAAGAAAGTGTTATAGCACATACCTCATTCAAACCATTTTGTTCCAGGGTGGGTAGGTTCATCTGGAGCAGTTTTTTTGTAAAATATGATCCAATCTAAAAAGTGAAAATAATAATGTTTGTATAATATAAAATAATAATAAGAAAATAAATCCTAATTTGTACAGCATTTTTTTTTCTAAATCTATTTACAAACATTTATCTAAGAACAATTTTTAATATATATTTATTATTTCTCATTGACCTACTATACATTAATGTTTATATTACAATAAAATTCTAATAATTATTAATGTGTTTAAAAAATTAGGTAAACTAATTCAGTTTACATAATATATTAATTTTCCTTTCATCCTTACCAAAGACTTTGTACTATAACAAAATTTCTTATTCCTTATTACACACATTAATAACTATCTTTAAAAACAATGAATATCTATACCATCTACAAGCTATATACAACATTAAAAACATGTGGTGTGTCCACTCACACGACTTTCCTACCTATTTCAGAAAAGTTTTTATATCTTTACATAAGTTCATGAAGAAACAAAAAAAAATTGAACTAGATTTATTTTCCTAAAAATTGATCAAAGAAAAGATTTGAGTACGATTTATTTGATAAATTAAAGCAATGTAAACCAGCTTAAGCTAGATCAGTGTAAACATTTCAGTTCTCTCTAATACTGCTGATCAGAAACTTTTTGCCATAGATTAGTATTGTCAAACAATAATTTCTGTTAAAAGTAGAGAAAATAGTGAAGCTTGTGTGATGCGGGCCACAGATTTCCTTACTTTCACTTAGTCATCTTTTTCCTCTCATTCACCCCTTTCTGACACCAGGATATGAAACCGTAATCTTACATTGGAAATTGAATAGCTGTAACTTCGTTATTAGTTGTCCAAAATGAACGATTTTTATATAGTTTTGTAGGGGATTTTATTATCTTTCAAAAACAGGCTAAACGGCTAAAGATATTTTTCGGACTCAGAGGGCTCTGAAACGTATAGATCCGTCGAAAACCGCATTTTACTCGATTGCAATACTTTCCTTATCTAGTATAGGTAGGAAAGTAATTAGTTAAAACATGTGTAGAAAATAGAATAAGCTGTATCATCGCTAATACTGGTTCGATTCCGATGAATTTTTTTTTTATTTATTGGTAATTTAATTACCTTTAAAAATTTTTATTTTAAATTTTACCGTATAATATATACTTAGGGAGTATATAACATTTTTCTTTTCTTTCTACAGTCTATACAAAAACATATTTTTCATTTATTGCACGCAAGCTATTGGGCGTTGCAGCACCGAACGTCTGTCACAGGCATCAGTAGTCAAAATAAAATAAGAAGCAACAAAATCGGTTCAGTAGTTCCTGAGAAAATCTTTGCACAGACAGACAGACATACCATTGGCTAAAAATGTGTTTTTCGCATTCAGAGGGCTCTGAAACGTTTAGATCCGTCGAAAACCATATATCGCAAATTTGACCCGATTACAATACTTTCCTTACCTAGTATAGATATGAAAATAATTTAATTTTAACTGCGCATTTCATCATTTTATGTTAAAAACCAACGAAATATATAAACATTATCTTTTTAAGAAGTTATTTTTCTTATTACATGTTTTATTATTTTACCTTTTTACGCGAGAAAATAAGTTAATCTAGCATGAACACTCGTGTAAGTGAAGGCAGCTAGATATGTCGGATGTATACAGGATTGTCATTACATACCCCTTCTGTGGCCTTGTATGCAGCATCGGCGGTGAAGTATTTGGATACTGCGCAGTAGGTAGCTGGGAAGATAAGACCCCAAACGGAGATACTAGATGGGTCATTATTATCGTAACTTATCAAAATTCCGTAAATTGACAGGAGGAATCCAATGAAGAAAGTACAAGCATGTGACAGTCCAGAAGCACCGGTCGCATTTCCAATTTCTGACACCAGGCCTGCCATGCTCAGCCATATCCTCCGCCTGTACCACATTTCACGCCTGTCTTTTACCTGGAAATCAATTAATATTAATATATTACACCACTAATTAATTATACTAGTTGGTCTATGAGAATAATTCGCATAGTATCAGCTCATCCCATAAATAATGTCGGAAATTAATTTTGAGATATAAGGAGTAGGATAAAATGGATGAAATACCCTCAATCTAAAATGTATTTACCATATTGTTCTGATACAGTTTGAAATCTTGAAACTAATTTTTTTATATTTTTTCTGGAAAAAAATCGTTTTGTTTTAAATTAAAACATCCAACACCTCATTTTCCACTTCATCGAATGAATTCATGTTCCAGTTGCTTAATGAGTTTTGGAGACTGGTAGTAAAAGATGATAATCCAAAGGTACTAAGTCAGGAGAATACGATGGGTGAGGAATAATTCCCATCTAAATCCTTCAATTTTTCAATGTTTGTTTTGTAACACGGGGCCTTGCATTTTCATAGTGGAATAGAATGCTTCGTATAATGATAAGTGAGGGAGATGTTTTCTCAATTGCCTGCTTTAATCGATCTATCTGATCCACAACAGAAATCTTTATTGATAATTTGGTTAAGATCAAGGAATTCAAGATAAAGGTTTCCTTCCATATTTCACCAAAAAAACATTATTACTTTTTTTTTCGAATAAAGTCCTTGGAGTTTCTCACCATCTATACACTTGTCGTTCACTAATTACGTTTTTTCCGTATATTTCTATACAAGTTGAAACAGCATTTTCTCCTTTATCGAATTTCCGAAACATAAAATGATGTAAATGGTATTTTGGGAGTTTACATGGCGCAACTTGCGCCAATCAAAACTTTTGAGGAGAGCACATTTTGATTTAAAGAAGATATCAATAAAATATCTTGGGAGGAGTGGGGGAAGGCTTATGTGCAAGGGAGATCGGGAGGGGATGGGCATTCCTGAGGAGATCCATTTTAATTAAAATTTCAGCACAGAATAACTAACTTTCTCCAAAAAAAACTTGATAAATAGAAGAGTATGGAATGCTTTTATAAATAAAATATGCAAACAATTCAATTGTAAAGGAGAGATTAGTAATATCAAGATAAACAGACAAGTTTTTAAAAACTGATGTTAACTTAGAAATGAGCTGGTATATTGGTCAGTAAACTAATGACAATGTAATTTGGAAATAAGTAAATGAAATGTATTTACTTCGGAGAGAAATTGATTTTAATTAAAAATAATCGACCAAAACATGAGTATAAATTACAATTTGGTTTCCTAGGTATGGTTCTATTCTGATGCTTTCATTTTCATTCTGTAGGGAATTAAGATAGAATTTCAATCAGAATCAGTATTAAAAAAAAATCCCTGTACCACTACATCCCTTGAAGGGTCTTGGGTTCAGTATTTTGTAAGGAAGTACTGTTTCTTGGTCTACAGTTAGGCAAGGAAGTAATTTAATTGAGGTCACGTTCAACGACCAGGTTTCTCTCCTTAATCAATGATTTAATTAAAGGTACCCATTTGGAGGTTGGATGTGCCCCAGGAGGATCTCCCGATCCCAGGATCGATTCATGGGCAACGAGACAGAATAAATAAGTTATCTGCCATTGGCCAGGATTCGGACTTGAAACACCTTGAGCACTAGAAGTCAGAGCCCTAACACTGGGCTACCCCACTCTCATAATATGATCAATCTTAAATTATTTAGTTTTTGAGTTATGCGCCTTTTCCTCATATTTTTTTGGAGAGAGGAGGGATATTGAATGAAATGAATTGAAATAAAAACACAATTATTCTGAGAGTAAGTCCCCTAAGAATAATAACTTAGTACCAAAAATTGACCCATTAGTCTGGATTGACAAAATACAAAGAGCTTCGTGTCATTTGCATGTTAATTTCAATTACGATTGCAATCGTACTTAAATAACACACTATACAAAGTAACATGGTATGCATGGATACAAAGAAAAAATAAAATAAAATGACACTTGTCGATTAATTGTTAATGAGCACTTGTAATTATAGAATCCAATAAATAATACATAAATGTGAAAGTTTGAAAATGGATGAGGATTGCGGTATGGAGATCGATAAAGAACTTCAGATAGAAATAGCCCAAGACAGGCAGAGATGTAGCAGGCTTGTTAAGGTGGCAAAAGATCTACTTAGTTCGAAACAAAAAACAGTTTCCAAAAAAAAAAAAAAAACTTATACAGAAGGTTACTACAACATTTCTTTCTTGTTTTTTTTTTATCTAAGAATGCTCATTTTTCAACTACATTGTCATTTATAGAACAACATTTTTTTTTTCATTACAAGCCGAGGCCTGCTGGACTTGGGTGGAGATCTCAATATGGCCTACAAGCCAAAAAGTTTGAAGACGCTGCTATAGCTTATAGATCTTCACTTCTTTTAAGAAATAAGCGACTAATCTACAACACTATACTGAGACTTATTTGGACATAGGAAGCAGAACTTTGTGGTTCAGCACACAAACAAAATACAAATAACACTATCCAAAATTCTTCGAAAAAATTTTAATGTACCTTGTTATATTCAAATTACACATTACATAACAACTTAAATATGCTAAACAATAAAATGTTACATCCTCAACAAATACACTGCATTTCAGTCTTCAATTTAAAATCACCCCAATCCGTGTCCCCAGGTCCAAAATCACCCAAATTCCCTTCTCCTTCTTACTTAAATTAAGGAAGAATGGTCTGCTGCTTCACCAATAACTTAATTAAGACCATTATCAAGCAAAACAATAAAAATTAATGTTACTTCAAATTTGCTAGTGTTATAAATGGTGCAAAAGAATAAGAAAATTGACCCTCTCTTGTTTTGAATACAAATTTTTTGAGCTGGTTACGCTTTTGTCTTTAATCTTTTCAACACAAAAACACACCCACATAATTTATGAAGCATCTATTGGCTATGTTGATTTACATAATGTTATATGATATTGCATTTTATAAATATAGAATGTATTTTTACCTTGAATATACTTATGAGAAAATGCTCTGCATACAGAGTTAGGTCATGAAGAGTTAACCACCAATGCCCCAGCATCAACAAATCGGTCACAAGGATGGGTATATAAGGGAGGAAAATGAAAAGCGATATTTTTGGAATAGTCGAGGTCTCATATATAAAAATTATTATTGTCATAGGTATTATCGAAGCAGACATAATCCTGGTATACCTCAATCGTTTAACTGAATACATTTTTCTGCATCTCCACAAATCCTGAAACGTGTAAAATCATTCAATTGAAACTTGGTTTGTTTTTACTTAATTAAAATGCACCTCAAAAATTAATTTTTTTTTTTCAGTCAACAAGGCAAAATTCTAGGACAGTTAACAAGGTGGGTCGTACCTGACCAAATTCTCTTTATGGTTTATTGAATTTGAATTCTTTCAAAGCTATAAAATAATTATTCTTATGTAAAATAATATAAAAATAATAACTGTAACAAAATTTGCATTACAATACTTCTTTACAATTTCATACAATAACTTTTTGTTATATTTTGGTCTGTAGGACACAATCATGTTATCTGGTTGGTAAAGGATCCATTTATTCATGGAAAAATTGCCATCTACATTTTCCCTTCTATTATTCCTTCCATTTTTTTTAAAAATTTGAAATGAAAAAAAAATGCTTCTTTTAACATTTTATTTTTATCTTGGTCCATGTTATTAAATTTAAATAAAAATGCTTTTCTTGATGTGCTGAATCTTAGTTCGAAACATGGCTGTATATGACTTTAATTAAAAAACTTAAGTGATTATGTTTATGTTGAGAGGAAAAAAAATATGACAAATTCCCTGAAATTGATAAAGCCTATTATTAGTAAGAAAAAAACAAAACGATAAAGCTGATAAAGAGGAAAATTCAAGTTGATTCATAGGCATGGTAGTTTTTATATTATATTTTAAATTAAGGTAATTTTTTTGACTAATATAAAAACATTAGACAACTCAAGAAAAGTATTGTAATTTGAAACATTCTAAACAAAAGGTATATAATCCGCCCCTCAACAATAAAAATAAAATGGCACGGATGTGACCCATGCATAGATAATTTAAGCTAAAAGTGGTGGAATATGAGGAAATACCCTGATCAAGAAGCTTCTACTGGGCTTTCTTTCTAGGAGGACAACTGAGAAAAAGGTTATCTAATTTCTCATTGATGTGTACGGAGCCCTGCATGTACCACAGCTGTTTTGTTCATACTCATGGGACGGATCCAACCCAACTAGTTGACTGAGGATTAAAAAATCAATAACTAAGGTTTCAAAACAATAAAAATTCCAATTTGATGACCCTTACTGATATAAAATGTACTGATACAAATCATTGACAAATATATTTATTTTTGTACCTCGAAATCTTTCCATTTCTTGAAATACTTCACTGTTCTAGGAGCATCCCACCAAAATGTGATAGGGCCTAGGAAACTTTGAATTCCAAACAGAAGAGGTAAGCACCAGAACATGATTTCATCAAAACTTTGTGAAGGATATATTTTGTCTCTAATTATCTTTCGGACGCTGTAAGTAGTCATCACACAAAAGGCCACATTAAAGGCAAGACTGTAAAGAAATGCCCAAGACATGAAGGAAAATGGGGCAATACCTGAAATTGATATAAATATAATGCTTTTATATAAATAACATACATTTGGAACATAATGTAATGTTATGATAAACGTTTAGCCGGAATTTAAATTAAAAGTATTAGTGAACTTATGCAAAATTTTGTAAAAGGGGAGGATGATAAAAGTGTTTTAAGATTTAAAGAATATAAAGGATATTAAAGTATTGTAGTATTTTGGAACTGTGGTAAATTGTGTAGTATCCAATTTTCATTTAAAATTAAATTGAATATATATATATTCAATATATAATATAAAACAAATATATATATATATATATATATATATATATATATATATATATATATTTGTTTATTTCTATTATTTGAAATAAATATCATGGAATAGGATGGTCTTGATCTGAAAAACAAACTGATGATGCAAAATCAAAGAATATATAACAAAAGTGTGTCAAAAATGTGCCGTGTTGATGTATGAAACTGAAATATTCTGGACAAATTAAAAAATAAATTTAAATAGAAATATTATTCCTTAAATTGAAATAAATAAAATTAGAAATAAAGAACACACAGCAAAAGTAAATATTTAAAACAAATGATTATAAGATGAATGAAAAAAGGAATATAAGAAAAGTTGATTTTATTTATATTGTGTTAAATGAAAATGAGTTTTTTTTGGCTTGAGCATGCCTAAACTGTTAAAAATATATAAATCATTGCAAAATATTTCAGTATTCAAATGCTAAACTTTCTTTTAGACAGTTTGACAGTCTATTATTATATTAACCACATTTAGCGTGTCTATAATGAAAAACATATTGATTAAAACATAAACTCATTTAAAATGTTAAATACCTGTTTTTGTGAAGGAGTAAGGAAATCTCCCCACTATTCTCAACACAACGAAAATAGGTTTCATTTGATTAAAATAAATATTATTTCCTAATAGTTGATGTGATTGAACCTATAAATGAATTTTTTAAATAATCAATTAATTTAATAAATCATTTATCAAATGATCACAATTATAAATTAAATAATATCATAAAGTCAATAATTATTATCTTAATAGTTCATGTCCAAAATAATTTTAAAAATTGACACTTTTAAACTTACCAAATTGTAGAGTCTGTCTAAGATAAGTTTGCCAGTGGTTAGAGGGGAGAGAGGTACGCAGTGACAAAATGTTTTCCCACCGATCCCCCACTCTTTTGTCTTCACTCATTCGTATGCACTTCTACAACTTGTTTTACAAGTTGAAATTTCTTTCACAATTTTTTTTTTTTTTTGTTTCTTTTGTGTTCCCGATATGAGGTGATTGCTAGTGTGAGGAGGGGAGGTGGAGCTTGAGAGAGGAAAGGCTGCACTAGATCTCCTTCCCTACAGGCAAACTTATCTTAGACGCACTATACCACAGATGATTTTTTTATTTGAACGGAACCAATACAGACTTATGTCAAAAAATCTTTGTCCTGTTGTCTTTGATTTTAATATCATTCTCTCATAGAATTATACTGTTATAAGGTTAGTAGCAGCAGTGAACATTAGATGTCTATTAGGCAATTAAAGCTGCAAATAAGATACTAACATAATATATAGCATAATATATAGATAATAACAACGTATTATTAAGCTGTATAGTCAATTGTTAAGTAATTAGAATTGGTAGTGGAAGCAAAAGTTATAGAATTATAAGATATTCATTTAAAACAATTAATTACCATCGTTTTTCCCCACCCGCCTAAACTGTTAAAATTATATGTTTTCGTTGCTATCAATTTCATTCTGTATATGTATTTTCATTTTTATTTTTATTATAAGGGAAGGAAAATCAGCCAATTTACTAGTCTCGAAGGATAAAAGTTCAAACAGATCAATCTAAATCTCATTAGGAGAGAGAATGACAATAAATCAAATATAATGACACTTTCATATTTCCAATTGAAGTTTTATTTGTTCATGATTATTTGAGCATATCTTTGAACAATGAATATTGATTCAAACTTTAAAAAGTGTGAAATAAAATAAAATATTGAGTAGTAAATCTTTCATATCTTGTAATATACCTTGCGATGGAGAGTACAATGTTTATTAGTAAAAGTAGTACTGTTTTTCCACCGATTGCCTGCATTTTCTGCAAAAGCTCCTTGTTGATAAATTATGAACATTTTTCACTAAGCTTCCTCCTGATTTGGATATATGGTAATATTCCTAGAATATTTAAGTGTTTTTATTTTATTTTTTATTTAGATGCAAATAATACAAAATAAATAATAATCTATTGATAATTGTTATAGAAGTCAGTTCATATATCCACTTATTTAGTATGTTGGGTAGATAGCAAACTATAGGTTTGATCTGTAATATTAAAACTTGAATGGTTTGTTATAAAATTTTAATTATAATAAGAAAGAAGTTTGTAAGGTCAACACTTTTATAGAATTTTTAAATTAGTTTGTAAAAAGAAAATCCTGGAAATCTTGTTCATTTTTTTAAATTTTTGTTAAAGTATAGAAATTAAATCAAGTCATAAAGAGCTCATACATTAGCTACTTAAAAACAACCAACTTCTGTAGAATATATATACATAAAATGATATGTACATAATTATAAAAAATATCCTATCAATATTTATGTTGATTATACAAAACTAAACTGTTACATGCAATAAAATCTCATTATTCCTTTGTTTTATGTTTGTAATAACTATTGTAAATTTTACATTTTTAACTCCAGTCTCATTGGAGATATTAATTAAAGCTTCAATTTTGAAAAATTTAGCAGGAATGGTATTTGTTCTGTTTCACATATAATTGGGCACATAATACTCCTTCTCTTACAAAAAAGAGGTTTGAATATGTTTTTTTATTATTATTTTTACATGCAATTTCATATAAATTTTTGTCATATTAGGAGCAAGATATTCATTAAATGTGTTAAGCATAAGGTTTTTTTGCTTTAACGTCACCTTTAAAACGGTGTATCTTTGATTTTTATAATTTTATAGTTCTTGAGCGACCGATGAAGCCGCAAATGATTATAATTACTGAAATTGGACAGAAGGACCAAAAAAATGGCTGGCATTATAAACAGTAAAAAAAAAAAGATCTCTCCCTTTGTTATTATAAACATGGATAAAACGACATACAAAATATTTAAAACAAAATGGTTGAGCAATCAGCATTGTACATCATACTTGCTTGCCTAATTGTGGTGTGTCACCTTGGCTAGCGCTTACTGGATCAAACAGTTTGATCAATAGCTTTGCCCTGATTAATTATTCACCATGTGTCATCAGCAATAATTTACTTTTGCTCTATCTCTCAGGTCCGTAATTAATGTTAATTATGTGTCTTGGTCAATGTCATTAATCAATGGCAGTCACCTTGTAGCTGCACAAAGGAGTGACATTTCAATAATGCACAATGCCCACCCGCTGAATAATTTTCAGTGTTACATTTTTGATAAGAAAACATTATTTGAAAAAAATTTCATTGTTGATAAAAAAAATAAAATAAAACACTTAGATTATTTGCAAACTGTTTCAGTTGAGACCTTTGTATACGCTATATAAGATCTATGTTAAAGTAATCATATCAAATATTTAATTAACCTTTTGACTGCTGAAGCTCATTCGCTTGTTTCTACCATATGGTGGTTGTAATACGCTTGGTTATACCATACCATCCTGAAATCCAAAAATACATCCAGAAAAACAGATTTTTTTTGTTACATAATTTTGTTCAAAATATTATTATGAGTCGCCGTACAAGATTTTAGCATTCAAAAATGCATTTTAACCTTTTTATTTAACTTTTAATAAACGGGACATATGCCTCCCCGACATATGCCCACATATAGTAATGTTAAATTAGAGCGGCAATCTCGCAAAACTTTGCTTTCTTGCATATTTGCTCATTTCTGAAAAGCTAAATAACTCAAAATTATTATAAAAATAACTGTAAGTGATCATAAAAATTAAATTACATTATTTCTAATAAAAGAACATCGACGGGGGGATTCGAATTATGTATTTCTTTGTATTTATAAATTTTTTTCTTACCTAAAAATGTTCCATATTGAAACATAGTGCAGTTATAAAATTTATTATTGCACTTACATTTATTTCGAGTTTCAAACAATTTTATATTATATAAAATATATATATATATATATATATATATATATATATATATAATGTTTTTAGGTGGATGTAATAATGATAAAACAACTAAAGTATCATTTTAATTCTATATATTTTTACATTTATAAATTTTTTTTATTACATTTTAATTTTTGCATATTTTTACTTTTTTATATATATATATTTTTATATATTTATATTTTTACTTTATATATATATATAAATTATACATTATATATATGATATATATATATATATATGATATATATATGATATATCATATATATCATATATATAATGTAGGAAACTTACATTTATTTTGTTTAGTATACAGAGATTCACATTTCACATGTATCAAAATAAGCATATAGTCAAAACTAACTAAAAATAAAAAATTATATAATTAAATTATTAAAATTTATTTGATGTATAAAATATTTAAATATAATATAAATAAGATCATGGATATGACAAAAAATAACAGAGAAATGACATATCTTCTGTTCAGAATAAATCTGCAACTGATAGCTTCCAAATGTTCAGAATTCGGAACGACTGCACTGAGTCAGCTACAGGGGACTAATGAAGGCCCGACGAAGCCACAAGTCAAATGGTGAAGGTAGGACTTACATTTAAGTGGCGACCGCCCAGGAAGGCATATATCCCGGCCCCACCAGTGACCCAACTTACTACCGAGAAGGCATATATCCAGTCCACACCAGTGACCCAACTCTTCATGGGAAGGCATGCATTCTGTCTCCAGTCAAAGGGTTAAATAAGTAAGAATCTGTGTTTCACATTGGTGCAAATCATATTTGTAGTGCAGAAGTCTATAAAAAAATATACTAAATTTAGCTATTGGCACTGATATATGTGTATACCCAAATGTTTTCTTCATTAAAATCCAATCATGAGAAATTTCAAAATTCGATGACAGAAAAATTCAGCAGTCAGCTAAATATTTGTTTCTCAGGTATACGGGTATTAAAATTAATTTTATTTTCATTTGAAGAACATAAAAGAGGTAAGAAAAACTAACAATCACAACCGCAAGAATTCTGAATCTCTTAGAAAAATAATTTTTTTTTAAAGCTTTCAAATTTTCAAGTTTTCTCTCATTGATAAGCAGTAAGATTTGCTTTACTTCATTTTAACTTTTGCATAGTTATTAAATTAGAGAAGTCTAGTAACCACTTTTAATTACAGTTTTTGCAGTCACTTCTAGCCATTTCAGAAATTATTGCTATTCCAAGGAGATCTCAGTTAAATATTTGGAAAACTAAGGAAATACTTAAGGTTGAAAAAAGTATTCTATGATGTCCTTTTTAATATTTCAGAGGACATTTCAAACCAAAAGGATATAATGAAGAAAATTAAATAAAAGAAAGAAATTAAATTAAATAAAAGAAGAAGAAAACAAAAGCCCATCATTTGGGTTTTGTTTTACAATAAAATTTAGTATATTTACTTACCCAAAAATTTAGTATATTTCTGTATCATTATACAATTGTTATTTTGTTCTCATTATAAAGACATCCATGACTTTGTCTTTTCTAAATAAAGTATTAATCATCTGTGCAGTGTTGCAAAGAATGGAAAAGTGTCATGCTAATGCCACAATGTATGAAATTTAAAATGCATACTAATTTTGATACAAATGCAATTTTAAAACCAACAACTGTTGACGATAGTATGTTGCAGGACTGTCCAATAGGATGGAATGAAAAACACTTTTTTTTAGTGGACCGCTTTCTAATAAAATTCAAAACTTGCCATTTAATTAAAAAAAAAACACAATGAAATTTCGTTGCTCTATATCTATATTTCGAGGTTCCACAAGAGGAAAATTAAAAATTCTTCTTTATGTTTTCAGTTATGTTTTTATCAACCCTATTTATAATATCCATTAAAAAAAGTAACTATATTTTGAATAAAAAATTTTGGGGGGTTCTTAAAGCCTGTCAATACCATCATCTGTAGTTTAATTAAATCCTTCCGATTGATCTCTGTTTTTGGTCTGAATTTTATTAATCTTATCTGAATTTAATTAATTGATCTGAAATTTGATAATCCTGCTCAAACCTCTTTTATAACTCGGGAACTATTCCATGTCGGCAACCATTCAGTAGCTTATATGAAAGGTTGTCAAACAAAAATTTCTCATTAGAAAGCTTCTGTTCAAATTTCCAAATTGTAAAAACCAAGAAGGAATTTCCTGAAACCTCTGTAATAATTTTACATCATTGTTATTTTGTCGCCAACTAACAATTACTGTTCTGCTCTCTGAATGAAAGAATACTTTTCATGAGAGTTTGTTTTTGATACATGTAATCTATCTACATGAATCTGTTTCATTTTTTCATCGTTAATTAGTTGTTATGATAAATTATATTTTATTTTCATATTTTTTTCAAATCCCTAACTTATATATATGATTAAAAAAAACATTATGATCACTTTTATTTACTGATTTATTTCTAAATGTCTTATTATAAGGATGTTTATTTTTTAATTCACGAAATTCACAACTGTATTGAAATAAAAATACAACTATTAAATGTGAATAGAGGAATATAATAACGTGAAACAGACTTGCACAGAAACCACCATTGACTGCCTAGTAATAAAAGTTATTACTATTAATAAAATTAAAATGATTGCTTTAGATCATCTTTTCAGATGCCTCACCTCGGAGGGTTGGTTATCAAGGATCGAAGAAAAAGCTGTATTAGAAACGTGAGGGTTTGCATGGTTCTAACATTTATTATGGAAATATAGGTATCCATATGTGTAACATTAAATTCATTATATATGATTTATTTGTGACACAGTAAGGAGCATTAAGGGTTTTACAAAGGTTTTTGGATTGTAAGTATTGTTTTATAACAATCATATTATTGTTTGTTATTGTATTATATATTATATTCTATGTTATATATATATATATATATATATATATATGATATTATAATTAAATAAATTGCTTCCAGAATTATGTCTAAGACTAAGACTAAGACCTGCTAA